CTGACAAAGGTCTTCGCTTTATTGCAGAAAACCCCTTCCTCCCATTTTCTTCCTTGCTATCCTTTTTCCTCCTGTTAGTGGTAGATCCTTAATCCAGGCGTCTCCTTTTTGCCGGTCTTGCCCTATTCTTGTTTTCCCCGAGTTTGCTTATGCAGTAGGCAAAGTTATCGTTAACTCTACCTTCCTCCAATCTCCTGTTCATTACATTGTTCTCCCCAAGGATGTCAGCGGCCTCCTTAATCTTGCGCTTCCTTGTGTTGTCCCCGTATGGAGCTCTTCTTTCTGTTGCCTTCCGATTTATCTCGTGTCCAGTCTATGCGATCTGTTCAGCTAGTTCTGATCTTTCGGTATCTATTTTCCTAAAGAGCCTCTGATGTTCCTTGATTCGTGTGCTAATTTTTCTCCGTGTTTCGCCAATATATTTCTGATTGCAGGCGCCGCATGATATACAATAAACTCCGGAATAATCCAATTTTTCTACTCTTTCATTCTACTCTGCGTTTTACATGGTCTCCCTGAAAACAAGACCAAGTTGCGACGAGGTCAACCCACTTCTATCAATCGAAAGGAGACTGCGACCACACCAGAGGCCACAACATCTTGATCTTCATACATAATAGCGTATGTTGTCCTAAGCTTTGTTGTTAATTTAGTTACATGCGTTTAGTGAGACAAATGAACGAACTGCGAGGTCAATATAATCGACTTGGATTATTCAGATAGGATGCCTGTATAAAATAAAATCAACTAATAGGGATGGAGAAAATAAATATATTCCCAATTAATAAGTATGAAGTGGCGGGATATTACTTTTGTTGATGAGCAACAGCATATAGTCTGAAATAGGCACAAATTAGCTCGAGTGCTTCACAAATTCATCTCTTGTTATTTCTGCATGACAGCCAGATAATAGTAGGAGTGAGGCATAGTAGGGAAGAAAGAGATGAATCGGCTCTAAAATAATAAGTATAAACGAGATATAACTGCCTTTTTATAGCACTGATCAGCCAAAGAGCATGCGAAAAAGGTCGGAATCACATTAGTGTATATAAGTTTTTTGCTGTTTCGTGAACATAACTCCATGTTCTGTTTGTGGCTCTTTAACAAACTATATAAATTATGAGCTTGATTAAGGATTACCAATAAACATTGAGTAAGAAATTAAACCACTCTAGGTCGCTTAATTTAGTCTAAGGGTCGGTAGCAGAATTTAAAAATGGAATAGGCATATAGATTAACGATACCATTGAATTCCATATGGTTTTGCCTCCAATGCAGTTTTCTCATACAGGATTGACTGCAGTGGCAACTTCGCAAACGTCACTTCAGCAACCACGAGATTCGAGACAATTTTGAGAGTGATTGATGGCAACAAGTTATTAATCTGCAACGGGTTCATGTAGGTCTAAGGATAGATCCGACTCTCAAGGCAGGCCAGATACTTCCCAAACCACATCCATAATGAATAATAATATATTTTTAGAGGCAAGGCTAAATGAATTTCAATAGCGTCTTGAGGACAACTCATTTCATTGCAAAAAATGCAACTATCAGACCTCGCATCGCTTTAAGCGACCTAGTAGTTACTCTTTATAGATAAGACCTGAGTAATGGCATAAATTGCTACAAAATTTAGCCTTACATAAAATCACCATTTTAAATGGAACTCGCATTTTCAAAGGTATGCAAGTCTACCTAGATTGGCAACATATTCACTTTGAGCCAGCGAATTCAATTCTCGAATATGGATCTGTCGAATTAGATGTATCACTGCGATGAGAGGTAGCGGCAGATGAAGCTGCTTGCAGATTCGACATAAAATAAGAGCAAGAGCGGAGTTGGCCTGATGCCTTAACAGCAGGCACGTAACTACCAGCTAGCTGAGAAGAAGGGCCGCCGGATAAATGAGAGGTTAAAGAATCAGTGGAAACATGGAAATGAGATTCGGTAAGTCGATGTGAATAGAACAAGGAGTCTGGAGAAGGCGGACTAATCGAGTTGTTGGTGGTCGGCACGGCTCCAGCTAAAGAAGTGGCTAGAATTCTCGAAGCTGAAGATATGTAGCCATGTAGGAAGGACAAAGGAAAGGAGAGTAACCCGGTAGTTGGGGCTTTCATCTTGCACCAAGATGTATCCTGCAGAGTGCGTGCCCATATGAGTTGAAAAAGGCCGGTAAGCAGTTTCAGCCGAGCAGCATGCAATTTCACAGCGGACTCAGGAGAACGAAAATCACTAAAACGAAGATAATTGAGCAAATATTGGAATATAAATTAGATGAGCATTGTATCTTGGACGAGTCCTGAATTTTTTAAGCAATATTATTTTAAAACGTTAAACTTCCAGTAGAGAAAAGGAAGTTATCATTCTTGAACGAAGAGGCTATTCGCATGCAGAAGACTCTCAACAAAAGTTTGTTCATAAATAAATCCCAAGCAGGAATAATACTACTTTTTAAATTTTGCCATAATTAGACTGTATACAGTACTCAGGAATAGGAACATAAGAATTATAAGACATATCGACGTTGATTTGTGAGAAAATAAAGTTAATAAAATAAACAATAGACAAAGTCATCGCTAACTCTGTCCTCTTTCAATCTCATGTGCGTTAAATGTCTATGGCCTCCTTGATCTTCCGTTTCTATTTGTTCTTGTGTTCAGTCCATGCAATGTGTTGCGCTTTTTCCGACCTTTGGATATCATGTTCCTGCAGAGCCTTTGATGTTCCTTGTTTTGTTAATATATTTCTGTTTGTAGAAGCCACAGACTATGGAATGTGTTCCTGAGAAATCTAATTTGCCTACCTTTTCATTTTGCGTAGGTAATCTTGTAGTGTTGTTTTTCCAGTAGTGGTCAAAGGAATATAATATTGGGCCCAGATTTAGGGTTAGTTCACAGAAAGGTAGGAAGATCCACGGTTGTGAGTCTTTATTCATCCTTATTTTCTTTAATAATCTCCGTTCTGCCATCAACTTTCAGCGAGCCGTATGTCTCTTTGTAGTACTTATCTTGAGTATCCGTCAACAAAGAACGTCCAAATCAACTTTTAATCCTGGAGTTGCATGTCCGTTATTCATACATGTCTGATAATCGGACCCTTCATTATTACTATATTTAGTATGTAATTGTGATATGACTGGAAATTAAATATTATTATATCTTATGATTTCTTTCTGAACAGACTTCCCTTGTTCGAACGAATCACTCCGACGCCCAGAAGGTAACTGCACCTCCTCCATTACTCTCATTGTGGATTTGATACTTCATGAATCTAATTATATAAACTCTAAGAAATCGTCCGATTTTCATCTTACAGCTGAGCAAATTGCGAAGTAGTCATTCAGATAACGCGTGCTCTTGGTTTTAGTGGTGGCGTATTGAAACCTTATCTAATTTTTTTATGTATACTTTTGCCAAAACGAGGTGGGAACGGTGGTCCCATAGGAAGTCCAAATATGCGCACATAGATGTTGCCTTTGAATGGGAAGTAAGTAGACCTCATTGTCAAGTTGATCAGTGATATCCGTTTCTAGGACACCCTCTTCTTGGTCCAACATTTCCAGCAGAGTCGTTATCACCTTTTCTCCAGAGATGCTCGTATATATGGATTGATCAAGGCTTACCAATAATTATGCTCCTCCCAGTGACATGTTTTTGACATTCTGAGACAATTCATAGGAATGTTCACTGTGTATGACAATCTGTCGTATACATTCTTGCGTTATAGCCATATGAACTTTGCCAATTTGTGGTCCTCCATACATTTTGTTGAATAACAGCCTTGGTGGTTCCCTTTCTATTTGTATCTTCTGTGATTCATTGGCCTTTTCTGGACGTTTACCTTTGCTCATTACTGAATTTATCATCCATCCGTCGGTTTCTATGATCCTATGCACATCTTTCAGCATGGCCTGTATGGTTCCCTTAATCTGCACAAATTGGTCCTTCTTTAATACATGATACGTGGTCCCGTCTTAGAGTAAATATTTTATCTTCTCGATGTATTGTTGTCTGCCCATTCTCACTGTCGCTCCTCCTTTATCCGCCTGGACTGATTACTCATTCATTTTTAGGCTCCTCTGTATCCTTGCAAATCTATTCCTGTTTACAAGTGGGTTGACCTCGTTCTCGAAACTTGGTCTTGCTGTCAGAGCGACTTAGTTGGACGCACCTTGTCAAAAGTCCTCTGTAATACTAGTTATCATAATTCCCAGCGTTAGACCGTTGACTTGGTACATTCTCAGACGCTTCTCCGGCATCATCAATTGATCTTGCCATTCTCAGGACCAAGCTACAATGCGTCAGGGACAAGTGAAGTCAATCCCTTGACCAACTTTCTGCTAAGACGGCTGTTGTATCACTCTTTCTTTCCTGGCCCATCTATCTACTCCTTACCCTCTTGCTTCATTTCCGGCTTATCACAATTTCTGACTTTTTTACATTCCACTCGTCAAAAGGTGTGCCCTCACTGGTGCTGGGAATGGCAAAACTCACTGACGATGCCGGCAAAAAATCTGAGAATGTATCAAGCTCACGATATGACCCTGGGAATTATGCGAACTACTATGGCAGATAACTTCGGACAAGGTGCATCCAACTAAGTAGCACCGACAAAAAGACCAAATTGCGAAAATGAGATCAATTCACTTCTAAACATCTAAAGGAGACTGCGACCATAACGAAGGCAACGCCATCTTGGTTTTCTTATCTTCTGTTCCTGTCTGTTGATTATTGATGTCTCGATACTATTTGAACTATTTCGGTCTCCATTTCCCACTTTTGTCTTCTCAGGGAACTTGTCAGAGTTATGTATTACCTCCCCAGGGAGCATTAGTGCAATTTTGAAGAGAAAAGTTCAGTCCTTTATTCAGGATTGCAAAGGTTTCGTGGTCAAGAGGAAACAAGGATGAATTCACCATCTTATTCCGATCGTAGTACTGAACAGTAGTTGATGTCACCTTAAAAACCACTTCACTGGGTGCAGTGGCTTTAACTTACGCTGTCCTATAATCCCATACCCGAGCGATTTTGTGTAATGTCTCTTTATGACAAAGTCTGAGATCAGACGTGCTTTCGTGCCGGCCATACACTGTAGATTTTACAAATCTTCCAGAGTCGGAATCCTGACCAGATAACCCGGAGCTTCTACTCAATGTTTATAGACTTATGTAACTCATTCGTATCCCTATCATACGTTTTTCTTAACTTCTGAATGGACGCCTGGTGAAGAATCTCATTAGGACTATGCGAATGGTAGTTTATCTAAATACCACATAATCTAGGAGTTATATCAGAAGGTTTATAACAGTTTACGAGAGTCAGGTGACATAAAAAAACTT